ATCACACGTGGCAATTCGGGAGAGGGTGACTGCAACATACTCTCACACCACATGCGTCGCATGCATTCATCGTAAAGTCACCAATGTACGCAGGATTTTGGTGTGAATGGAAGGGCCAAGATATCAACCCCAACACTGCCAGTATTCTTCGAAGATGAAGCCGGTCATCTGTCAAATTGGAAGATGTGGCTTGATGCGCACATTCACTCTCAACTTCCACACTTAGTCGCTTTTAAGGTCAACGCTAACGAGTGTGGGAAATAAAGTGTAGCGTTGCCTGTTTAATCCGGCACGCCGTACGGCATGAAAGTGGCGTAGAATGTTTAGAACTGGAGAATTTATGGGCTGATGTGGTTGTAAGGACTGCGCTCTAAAGTTCGCATACTAAGCTAATGCTGGCGTTGAGATGGAGAGTCAATGGTGTTGCACATTGTTGGGAACTTCATTTTTGCTGAAACTCCTCACCTTCTCCTTCCGATACACTGCAGTGTGCGACTGACCACTGCTGGTGGCTAGTGAGCTGGTGGTCGCTTCAGCGAAAACCACTAGACAAATGCAATCCACACTTATCTCGCATTTTTGAAGGAAGGAAAATCGAGGGTGACATGTCACAAGAACCCTTTTACCAGACTACTGTGGGTTCTCGGCATCCACAAAGCTGGGACGCTATGCTTGATGCGGAAGTCACAGTGACAGCACTGCCCACATCCCATCCCGAATCTGCAAAATCAGCGTCTGCTCTCATCCGTGACGGGAAAGTTACTCTTCTCGGATTGACGCCCAACACTCTGTACACAGTGAATGTGACGATTGTTCAAAATGAAGAGGTACTTGTGGAGTCCAAGGATTCCATTAGAACACGACATCAAGGTGAGTTAGGACGTGTGATTATATCAATGGTGAGCCCATCTTACACTTTCATTAGGTTTGGTAATTTAACAAGGAGGACGTATTGCCTGTTTTATGCATCCAAACCTCCCGCTTCCATAGATGTTGCAAGAGAAAGAACAATGGATGAAGTTGACGAGTCTCCGGTGCCGTTTTATGACGTGTATGTGAACTCTCAGGCCATTCGTCTGACCTGGGAGCCAGACACTATGAAGGAGATGGCCGAAGAAGAAGTCGTACTGATGTTATGGAAGAAGTCAGAACCACGTACCCTCAAGACCGAACATGCACTCATCAGTGATGGAGAAGTCACTCTCGATGGTCTGGCACCCGCCACATTGTACACGATGACTGTGACAGTGACTCAAAAAGGGAAGCCGGATTGGAGGTTCAGTCAGGACATTGAAACACCGAGTACAGGTAAACGAGAACACTCGAGCAGACTCCACTTGGTGGCCTAATAGCAGTCATTTTCAGTAGAAACATCAGCTATCCACTTGTGGGAAAGCACTGTGTGAAGTCTATGCTCTGGACTGTTGGTTGGCTAAGGTAGTTTGAGTGATTATTTTGTTGACGAATGAGCTGGTTGCAGAGGAGAGAGAGAAAGAGAGGAGTTAATGTTTGGGACAGGATGAGAAGACACACTCTGACCACTCCTTAACACGTCTCCTTAGCACAATCGTAGGAG